CAGCACCCAACTATGCCTCTTCACCCTTCCATAAACTTTTTTTGCGGCCTCAGATGAAAGTTTTACAGTTCTTTTCACCAATTGTAAGTTGTTTGACAGATCAGTGAGAGAAATTTTTCAGCAGTTTGAATAATTTGTTGTAACTTGACCATGAGGTAATAAAATATGTAGAAGGACGCTTAAATTGTAATAAAGCAGCATCAACATCAAGCAACATTAACATCAACAAACTCCTAACTTCAACTTTGAAGTTCAAGAGCAGTTTTTCTGCTTCTACCTCTAGCTTTTTCTTCTGAAACTTTCAACTCTCTATGCTGATAGTCTGTCATCTGCATCGTTATGCTTTTCATGCCCAAACCACCTAAATTTTCCTTGACGTACCCAATCAAATATACTCACATTTTTTTTTCTTAAATCATCACTGCTTTTCTTTTCTTTTAAAGTCATACCGCATATCCATCTAATCATCATCTTTTCTGTTCTTTCCAAAAGCTGGACATCTTCAACCTTCATTGCCCATGTTTTACTGCCATGCATCATAACACTCTGGATATATGTGCTGAAGAACTTTTCTTTAATTATTACTGAAGCACTTCTTGCTGTTAAAAGTGGAGATAACTCTTGGAGCTTGACCCAAACAGACCTTACTCTTGCTCTAGATGCTTCTTCTGCTCCACCAGCTGATGCAATTGTATCTACAAGATAACAAATTTTACTGACACACTCTTCTCCACTTTTTATTTCAATCTCTTTTTTAACTTCTTCTTTATACTCACCAAAAGTACATTTTCTATACTCAAAACCAACAATCTTTAAAGAACATCTCTTCAATATCTACATCTCTTATGAAACCATTGCATACAATTGTACAAACTGTAGAGTTAGCTCTAACTCTCTTCCTACATACTCCACATGGCCACTTCCCAGTATTTTCTGTTTGCTCATTCTTGACTTTACAATGCATAACTTTTGTTATATTCAAGTTTATCTAATATCCTTTTGCTTCAATTTCATCTTTCCTAGTCTCAAATTTAATACTAATTCTTCTGTTTCAGTAATCTCTGAGTAATTGTTTTTGCTAATTAATTGCTCCTCAAACTCTTCACTTCATTTAAAAATGTAAATAACTATATATATGGTTTATATATAATGTAAATAACTATATATATAATCACATGGACTAAGCGAAGACGTGGGGCCCAAGCTAGTGGGGGACCCAAACTAGTGAGTGGCTCCAAAAAAAGCCGATCATGTTATGTAATTTCTTAAAGATTCACATAAGGACCTCCAGAATCTTAGGCTTAGGACCTTAGATGTGAAGAACCTCCGTTTGTCATGATTCGCCACTGATTGCATAATTAACATAGTTTGATGCAATTAATAAAGTTATATATCCAATTAAAAACATGAGTATGTAATTTATTACTAAACAGCTGTTTAGTAATAAATTACATACTCATAACACCATTAGGAAACCACTCTTGTATCTGTTGAATCAAACTAGTCTGTCAGACAGTCTTGTACTATCTTGTTTCATCATCCCATGTACAATATAAAGACTTTGACTAATTCCCCTGCTCGATATGCATGACTAAACCATTATAAACCCTGGGTGCTTTACAGTGTTTACAGTACATTTTGGCTTTTTTGTTCTTTTGGTCTGCAACAGACGAATGTGGCTTTTTCTTCCAAAGTCTCAAAGGTAGATTCATTGCTGTATGCAACCTGACTAAATCAATAAATATTGATGTTTTAAATATTTCAAATATTAATAAAATGAATTGGGATAAGATATTAATGCAAAAATATCTTCTAAACACTTGTAATATTAAAATATTATTTGCTTATGTTTCAGTAGAAAACTAATAGAAATTTACCTTATTCTAGTCATCTTGAGAAAAAGAGGAGTGCTTCTTAGCCCATGCAAGAAGTTTTTTAATCATTGCAAGCGTAAGTTACAGCTTTTTCAATGGCTTTCTACACTTATATCCAAACTCATAACTTCTCCTTCTTAAAGGTTCAAGTGAATTTTTGTATTCCTTGATCTTTTAAACCAATTATCAGTTTTATTGATGGTATCTTACGATTTTATTCAATAACTTTTTTTATTTTTCTGTGATCTCTAGCACTTGTAACTCTTTTTCTGCCACAAGACTCTGTTTTCTGCGCTTCTAATTTAACCCTAATTTTAAGTTTAGAATTTGTTCTTCTGACTGTAGCCATGATAACTTTGATAACTTTATATTTCTTTGGATGTAACTTGTTTCTTGCAGAAAGACAGTTAATTTTGCATATTTACTAGAGGAAACATCACTAGATTTACCCAATATTTATCCTAAAACAACTCCAACATTAATTAAGTTATTATATGACAGCAAAATTATAAAAAGCAACTTAAAAACAACTGAAAATTTATTATTTAAATTGTAAAGGCAGTCTAAATTAATGTAGGTCCCTAAAGAAGTCATATAAATTGAGTTATGACAGACAAAATTAACTGAAAGTTTTTACTTTTATATAATTTAAACTTACCATAACTTTTATAAAGTTGAAAATATTATTCAAAAATAAATATATTTTATAAATTTTCCTAATTAAAAACAAAAAATGAATGACAGGAAGTTAAATTGCACATAAACAACAAAAATTAAACACCATTAATCCCTACCTTTCAAAGAAAATCCAAAAAACTAACAAAATCTGGACATTTCTTTTTTGAGTCTAATAATTTGAGTAGGTACTGTATATATATATATATATATATATATATATATATATATATATATATATATATATATATATATATATATATATATATCAAGTCTGTTGCAAAATTAGCATCTGCTAAAGTTGCATCTCTTTATCGAGCTCGACACTTTCTTACTCTGGATTCTATTCTCTATCTCTATAAATCTCAAATGTATGGAATACTGTTACCATATCTGGGGCAGATCTTCTAATGATGCCCTTTCTCTTTTAGACAAGGTGCAAAAACACATTGTAAACATAGTTTGAACTGCTCTTGTAGTCAACCTTCAACCTTTGTCACATCATCATAATGTTGCTTCTCTTTCTCTTTTCTACAACTACTATAATGGGCATTGCTCTAAAGAGCTAGCGTCTCTTGTGCCATATTCTCAAATTCATTCTCTTGTTACTCGTCATTCAATTAAGTCTCACCCTTTTTCTGTTACTGTTCCTAAGTGCTCCAAAAACTCTAATTCGTCTAGTTTTTTTCCTAGAACATCAGTTCTTTGGAATTGGCTTCCTTCATCTTGCAAATTTGTTTTTTTAACAGTTTATTTCAATAACCACATTAAACTTTATTGATGCAATTAAGAAAAAAATTAAACAATTTTTGAAAATGTTATTACACAAAAAGTACTTAGTGAAAAAAACGGTTTTGCTCCCATTATGAGGCACAACCGCACCCTCACAAAAATTGTTGGGGGTACACTTTTCCCGGTAAATTTTCTTTACAATTGTCACAGCTCAGATTATTTGCTGATTTTGTTGCACGTTTGCATTTACTGTGTAGAGATTCTTTGTACAGTCTGATTTTTCTCATTCGATATACTCTTAATTTTATATTTTATTCAAAAACTCATTTATAAAAATTAAATAAAAAAATACAAAATCTAATTTCCAACATAATAAAACAAAACTATTTCTTTTTAAGTTTTTACATGAATGTATTCAAGTGTGACGATTGAAATTATTGTTATTCGTAATTACCTAAGTTTGATAAATACTAAAAGTATGCGGTTCTTCGCCAGAGGACATGTTTCAGAAAGAATAAAGTTTCATAGCTTGCTTATTAGGTTATGTTGATATCAAAAATGGTTTTCACTTGATGAAATAATGCTGATAACACATATCTTTAACACTAAAATCAAATATTGCTTAATCCTCAAAAAAAAAATGGTCTGGAAAAATATAATGTAAATATAATATTTTTATCAAAATAAACATTATTATGCATAACTTCTCAGAAATGTAACAGGTACTCTTTTTGACATAAGCAAAATGAAGGAAAATGTTTTGACAACCTGTTGTATGTTTTTTACCATATTAGATAACATTTTTCAAAGGGAAATGTTAAAAAATGGTTGTGCCTTCTTATGCGGTTATGCCCCCACTTCCCCTATATATATTAGGATGTTGACTTTTGGTATCTCCAGTTTCCTGTATAAAAAACAGATGAACTTTGGTTTGAAAGTAACTTAAAAGTCATTGGTTTAATTTAATTTTTGAAAAAGATCACCCACCATGACCCTTGATTACACACTGTCTCTGATATATCAGTGAGTTTTTCTTCAAAAGTATATTAACCTGGGTCTCAAAAGAACCAGAATTTCATAAAAATTTTAGAAATAATAATGGTTTCAAATAAAAATGAGTCGCCTAAATTTTATATGCAAAAACAACAATTTTTCACTAAAAATTGAAAAGGTCGTTTTTTATGGCATTTTGTTTGCAACATGACGATATATATATATATATATATATATATATTTAAATTAACATATATGTATATATATATATATATATATATATATATATATATATATATATATATATATATATATATATATATATATATATATATATATATATATATATATATATATATATATATATATATATATATATATATAAAGTAACATTATCATCAACTTTTCAACAAGTTATTTTACTGGTTTATAAATATTAAAGACCATTGAATTTTGAAACCTATTATAAAAATATGGTTTGTTTGTAACTATGGTTGCTAGACTTTTGGTAAAAAAAATTCTTTACTGTTACATGGGACCCAGTGTGTAATCTAGTGTCATGCTGGGTGATGTTTGTAAAAGAAAAGAAAACCAATTACTTTATAGTTACTTTCAAGCTAAAGTTAATTTCTTTTCTATAGATCCAACTAGAGGTACCAAAGATTCATAACCTTAATACACATAAAAATATATGTAATTATGTTATCAACTTTTTTATTTTTCTAGTTTACAAAACCAACAGATGGTTCAGAACCAGAGTTTCTTCAAAATCATTGTAGAAAATGTTCTATGTATAATTTTTTATTTTTTTGCTTTTCTGATTAAATAATAAATTTTTATTTACTTAAATTTTGTTTAACAAGATATATATAAATATATATATATATATATATATATATATATATATATATATATATATATATATATATATATATATATATATATATATATATTTATTTATATAGTATTTAGTATATAGTATATAGTTGTATTATAATTTATGTAGTAGTCGAATAAGACTTTAATGGTAAAAAAAAATTGTTTTTAAAACATGGCAATAATAACGACTAGATAATTTTTTCAATTAATAGTGCTTTTTTTTTTTATTATTTTATGTTTTTAAAACATGCAGGAAGTGTTGCTACCTACATTGACTGAAAAATAGGTAAAACTTGTGAGGAAAAATAGGTAAAACTTGTGCTAAATTGACGATCTAATAGCCTGCTGCTACAAAAAATGTTGCTACATCAACTGAGAGTTTGATTGGGACAGGCAGTTTATCAGATAATTAAACTAAAACTTTTTTTAAAAAATTTTAGTTTTATTATCTTTTAAAAATTAAAAAAAAAAAAAAACATAAACAAACATAAACTTGACATTTTATTGGAAAAATTAAAAATGACCAAGAAAGAGTATGTATATATATTGTTCAGAAACTATTTTAGTAGATATTACCCTGTGTGATGACTAAAGTGAAATTTTATTTCCCTATCTTCTCCCCCTCCCTTCTCCAAGAAGCCTAAAATTTTATTATATTACACATATATCTAATAGCTTTTAAATCACCAAAAGATATTCAATCAGTCTACAAAAAAATATTCATGCAATTATATCATTCTGAAGAAATTTTGTTAAACAAATCATTATATTTAAAAAAATAAAAAACCAGCTTTTTCTTTATCTACAAGTTTCCAATTTTTCTGTAAATAAATAAGTAAAAATAATGTTACATTTATACAGTCCAAGTATGTTCTTAATATACTTTTTCTGATCTGTTAAGTATTTTTTGGAGAAAATTTCATTGCTTAAATATAATTTCTTTCTTGAACTCACACAGATTTCGTTGTTGTTCTACAAGCTACAAAATCCATTGTTGTTCTTCATTGTCATCGTGTGTGAGAATTTTTGCATAGTTTGTGATCATTGAAATTCCTCTCTCTGTTGCATCATTTGTGAGCAGAAAGTTTTGAGCAAAATCATTGACTTTCTGAACACACTGATTTTGACCTCATAGATTAAGTGATTGTGAAAGCCATGTTAAATCATTAATTTCCAGAAGCTTGATAAGGACTTAAGATACTGGTGAAACAAAGGAAGCTAAAGTACTCTTCTTTGTTTGCATTGATGTATTTGGTAGTCCAGGCATTACAGGCTTTCCAAGTTGGAATGTTGAAGTTTTCAAAAGTTTTTTACTTTTAGTATCATTTCTCCAGTAAAGTACCAGGTATGCCTTCCCATGGCAGTTAAAGCTCTTTTACCCACCTCTTTGTTGATTTGTTTCATAAAAATTGTGAGATCATTAATAGTTTTTAAAACATTTCATTGTTTCAAAGACAAATGCATTCACTTGTTTGTTAGTTAGGTGTTCCTAATTTCAAGTTTTGAATTTTAAAATTTTTTTCTTGTAGACAGTCTGAGATATTTCCACAAATAATAGCAAATCTAATAGTTTTTCTTCGGTTTTTTACAAGAATTTTTTATCCCAGTGAAGAACTAAACACTCTATTGGGATAAATCTTTCCCTGGTGTGTATTGTGATCTTGATTTTTAATTTGAGCAGCTGTAGTGCACTGGTTAGCACGCTGAAAATCAAGTTTCTTTATATCACTGCTAATTTTTTTTTTTTTTTTTTTCTAATATAACTTCAAGTGCGCCAAGAAGTCCTTACGGTCTTATCACATAGCACTCTGGAAGAGCATTCAAAAGAAAGTTCATACCTCCTTCCTTACTGATGTTATAAAACTTACCAAGGGGTTGTGTTGAACCATGGTTCTCTAACTTCTGAGGCAGTGAAGAATTAAATACTCTATTGGAATAAATCTCTCCCTGGTGTGTATTGTGATCTTGATTTTTAATTTGAGCAGCTTTAGTGCAGTGGTTAGCACGCTTGCCTCAGAAGTTAGAGAACCATGGTTCAACACCACCCCTTGGTAAGTTTTATAACATCAGTAAGGAAGGAGGTATGAACTTTCTTTTGAATGCTCTTCCACAGTGCTATGTGATAAGACCGTAAGGACTTCTTGGCGCACTTTAAGTTATATTGTAAAAAAAGATTAGCAGTGATATAAAGAAACTTGATTTTTTGAAAAAAAAACAGGAAGCACAAAAAAAAAAAGTTCAACAAAATCAATTATTTGCTTCATAAAGGCAAATCCATATCAGTTACAAAGAAATTTCGCAAGAAAATTTAAATGAAACCACGATAGAAAAAATTTAAATTTCAAGAATATAAAACAAACACCAAAGTGAACGATTGATGGAAAAGAAATTTGTCGTTTCAAAAAAGCTATATAAACTTTAAAACCAAGAAAACTTTTGCATAATTGAAGACTAAGAAACCTATTATAAAAAAGACTTTTTCACAATTGTCAGGTCAGCAATATTTTTATTAGTTGAAAGGTCGATGTGTTGCTAACAAAGTATATTTAGCTTGAGAATTTTGCTCCCAGGTTCCTTGTATGGGAAGCAATCTGCTCCTGTGGTTTGATGTGCACTTACAAGACTTTAAGCTTATATTTGTATATAGAAGAATTTTTAAATAAACGTCTTCTGCCATTCATTAAAAAGCATGATATGCTCATAATATTTTGGCCTGAAAATCCATTACTCTAAGAAGTCTCTAGAATAGTAAGATAAATGGTGTCGAATTAGCATCTTAAAAAGAAAATCTTAATTTTCCTTAGCAACAAGTTATTTTAAGTTGTTAGTTAATTAAGAAAAGGAATCTTATTGAAAAGTATCATATTGGCGTTAGGTAAAGAAGGTTTAAATGAAACAGATAGCAGTTTCAAAAAAACTCAAAGCAAGATCCCGCAGATGATCACAAATACTCGCAAAAATATTTGGTTTCTATGGTAATCTATGATTGAAATTATAATTCAGTTGTTTTGTGTGTAAAAAAAAAAAAAAGCATTTTTTGACATGATGCATAAATTACCCATTGCTTACTTTATTACACTTTAAAATAAACAGAGTTTATGCGAAATAAAAAGTACATTTATAGACAATAAGAACATTTGCAAGAAAATATTAACTGATGGTTTGCGGTTGGGGAAGTGTAATGATTAGAGTGTACATGCTTGTTTTCAAATAGTTTATATCTATAAATAATTAATATAATAGGAATCGTTATTTAATATTTTTAATCGTTAAAAATTTTTATTCTTAGATTATTTCGAAAAGGTAGTTTTTGTCCAGTTTGCTTAAAGGTGTATTGCGATGATGATGGTGTTGTTAATCCAATGGTTTGTTGTGATAATTGTGATCGTTGGATACACACAGGTGATAAAAATATTAAGTATAATAAATAATAAGTAGAATATGTATTAAATATAAAAAGTATTAAATATAACAAATAAATATTAAAAAAGTTATATACAAAAATAATATATAACGTTTACCTGATATTTTTCTTATAATTTTTTTTTCTAAATGAAAAAACTAGTTTTTGTGTTGTGTTGCAGATTGTGATGGTATTGATGAGCAACGTTATATTGAACTGTCTAAAGATCATCATTCGGCATACACGTGCGTTTTATGCCGTGGTGAAAAAGAAGAAAGAATGGATTCCTTTCATAAAAAAAGAAGAATAAATGGAATTAAATCAGCTGATGAAAAATAATATAGCTATTATTAGTTTTATTGGCTACAAAGATATTTTCAATTTAAAAAAAAAAAAAAAAAGGTTTATTTTGCAGAGCATGCTGAACGTGAATTTTATGTATTAATTTCCACAAGTGTTTAAAAATATTTAGTTATAATATTTATGATATATATATATATATATATATATATATATATATATATATATATATATATATATATATATATATATATATATATATATATATTAAGAGAATTATTTATTAGTTTATTATTTGGTTGTTAGCTTTTCTTGAATATAATATATGTTATAAATTAACTAAAATTTTCGTTTTATGAAGATTACAGACAGTTCATAATTACAGAAATTCACTATAAACTAAAAAACTTACATCATTGAATTTTAAGAAATATGAATCAATTAATGATAAAATTATATGTAGTTATAAAGTCTATAAGTCTGTTATTTCTTATTTTTTTCAATTCGAGAATGAATTAACTTAAAAAGGTCTCTTTTGGGAGGTACTTGTCTACTTGAGGCAGCTAATACTAAGTTGTTTCAGATTTATTGCTTGTCATTATTTCGCATTTAAATCTTTGCACAGAAATTCTTTCGAGTATTCTTTTATGAATACTCGAAAAGTTGTCAATTGGGTGACATTCTAAGATGTTTGGCAGCCCAACAAACTCTCCATGCTTGGTCCATGGATCCCCCATCATTGTTACCATGGCGAGCCATGTGCAAGCCATGTTTTTAACTATAAAATTGGTGTCATTTTAGGAGTACGATATAAATAATTTGAAATTTAAATAAAAGTTCATTAAAGTATATATAAATTTTTTTGCAGGCAATGCGATGCGATATTTTGAAAAATTTGTGCGTATCTCGACCACTGATCTCAAAATATAACTGGATAGCGTATATGGCAAATTTTTTGAAGCCAGTTTTGGCCTCCCAAGATGGCGGCGTTAGTTGATCATAAATTGAGAAAATTTGGTTACGAACTATTATATCTTTTTTAAATGAAAAAAATTGTACAAGCCTCAAATTCAAATATAATTTTCGGTTTTACATAGCAAATATTTTGAAAAGAAACGCAATATTACATATTTATGTAAATTTCTAAAGTATAATATTTTGTTTAACAAAATATACTCTTAATAATTAGTTTGTATAATAATATCTTTTTTTTTATATATAAATTAATTAATTAAATAAGGAAAATTAAATAAGATAAAAATTTTTAGATAAATAATTACAAATTAGTTTATTTAACATAAGTAAAGAACGCACTAGAAACTAGTATTATACCTAGAACCTAATAGTTAACTATTAGGTTCCATTAATATATATAATTAGTTATAACCTATTAGTAGTAAAAAAAATAAATAAAACCCTAGTAGTTATTTAATTCAAAAGTTTCCAAACAACTTTAAATGTGAAAAGTCAAAATAATTTTATTCAATTTTTATTTATACTTTATTTATTTACTTACTTTTAATTTTAGTTTTACCATAAATTAATTGTTTAATATTGTTTTTTATACAATTTATGTACCTTTTAGTTCTTAACTACCCAATGCTGTGTGCTAGAAGGTTAATAACACAACTGCATGGTAGGCAGCTGAATATCTTTTTAAAATAAACTATTATAAATTAGTTTTTCAAATAGATATCACAAATTTACAAATGCTGCATGAACTATTAGCTGAGCTCTGTGAGTACACACAACTCAGAGGTTCCTTCTAGAATTTTATATATATATATATATATATATATATATATATATATATATATATATACATATATATATATATATATATATATATATATATATATATATATATATATATATATATATATATATATATATATATATATATATATATATACATACATATATATATATATATATATATATATATATATATATATATATATATATATATATATATATATATATATATATATTTAATACAGATAACTTTATTTTAATGTCATTTTAGCTACGTATCTGACAATATGAGATCAAAGTTTTTTTTAATGCTGCATTTTGGAATATCTGCATAATCGTGGTCACAATTAGTTGGTTTTCTCTCCAACAAATCATATTTTCTTATTAATTCAATTTCAGTAAGATATTTTATTACTGGAGTGAGAAAAAGAAAAAAAGAATCTAAAGCTTTTAAAATATGAATTTGATCTCTGATGCTGCAGTTTCCATTTGAACATTAAACGCTACTTCGCATCAAAAGTTGTTTATATGTGGCTGTGAGTTGTTGGCATTTGATATTGTTGTTAAACATTCTTGCAGATCTCACAGCTAAATAAGATTTCACAGCACAAAAAAGAGCTTGTTAGATTTTTTTTTTCACTGAGCTTATATGTTTTTTGACTGAGCTTATATGTTAAATTATTTTATATTGAACTTTCTTTTTCTTCTCAGTTGAGATATATATTTTAAACAGATTTAACTGCTACCAAATATCTAATGAAATCAGTTTTTTGACTATACAAGATCATTTGCGTACCAATTAACCTCTTTAAGACAAATGATATAAGTATATGCCATGTCAATAAATGGAAAACAAAGAGTCTTGTTACATGCACACAATGCTGACTTGTATCCATTGGCAAATAGGTTTCTTGAATTTAATATGTCATGTAATCAATCTTTTATGTGAATAAACTCATCGACATACATGCAGTTTAATAATATAAAAAAGTGAGCTAACTATAACATATATCCATCATTCTTAACAGCAGGTAAACAGTATATATAACTTTAGTTAAAGAGATATTTCAAAGAGGCGTATTGAATATTTGTATATTAAAAACTTAATAAATATTTTTTTTAAACAAATGTATTTTTACATACATTTTCATCACCGATTGTATTGAGTGATTTTCCTTTAAGTTATAAAAAATGATTATTTACTTTTTATTCGTTTTAAAAGTTATTATAAATAACTATAATTCAGACCTGGTTTTTTTTAACCAATATAAGTGACACTTTAGAATATTTTAATCATATAATTTATACAATAACAGCATTTAAGTATAATAAAAGTCTAGAAGAAGCCCCTGAGTTTTTGTGTACTTACAGCACTCAGTTAATAGTTCATTCAGCATTTGTACAAATTGGTATCTTGCATAAAAAATATAAAGTATAAAATTGTAGATAGACATGATTGCTGCTGTTTACCATGCTGTTATTAATGGTAAACAGCAGCAATTAATAACCTTCTAGCATACATCGTTGGATTCTTATTCTTAGTTAAGCATTCTTTGTTAGAACTAAAAGGCACATAAATTATACATAAAACTAAAATTGTAAATTTCACTAATGCCATTTAATAATAAATTCAATTATTAAAAAAAAAAAAAATTTCTCTAATAATTATAAAATTCATTTGTTTGTTTGTTTTTTTGTTTTTTTTACAAATGTATTAGTCTTATATCATTATTTTCTTTTGTATTTTGATAAAGTAAAATAGAATGCATATCGGTTTCACCGCTAAGAACTAAAATAGCCGCCATCTTGGGAGGCCAATTTTGGCTTCAACTTTTTTCGGAAAAAACAATAGAATCCACTATCCAGTTATATTTTGAGATCAGTGATCTCGATCTGCATTAATGTACTTGTCCCAAGAGGTGCGTTTAGCTTTGACCGCCTCAATAAATTCTGGTATTACCCATTGCTACTGTTTTTCTGTAATGGGAGTGGTAGTTGACGGAATGTGTAGGTTAGTGGCTTTATTGTACACGTTTGCTAGAAGTTGGTAATCTTCGGTTGCACTTAGTCCAGTGAATACTGTTTCCCAGTCAAAAGCTGCAATATGTGCTGATATTGCTGCGTAGTTTGCTCGACTCTAAATGAGTTGAGGTTTTAGCCGCAAAGTAGGCGAGATGTTGGGGCATGCAACAGCAAATTGGCCTTCGATGAAGCAGTGTGCTTGGCCCATTGTGTCACCAAGAGAATCGTCTTGTTTGATGAAAATTACACGGTCAGGCTCATTTGTTATAATAAGGTCGAGTGTGCTAGTAGGCTCGACGTGTCGACTACTACGGTAGGTTAGGAATGTGATAAGCTGAGTTAAGTGACATTCATCAAAGCACTTCTGGAACCTGATGTCGCCTTGACGCTCACCTCTCACGTGAGCAACAGTTGCAATGCCACTGTTAACTTCGATAGGCTCATAAGATGTATGGCTAAAATTGAAATCGCCATACAGTAGCATTGCAGAGCAGTTTATATTAGGCAGTATTTGTTGAGCGGTAGTGATCGATGTGATACACTGAGTAAGATTTTGATCATTTTCGTCGTGTGGACAATATAAGCAGCCGAGGAGAAATGATTCTTGACCAAGTTTTATTTTTCGCCAAATTTGCTCAATTGATGTTGAGTTGAGCCGAGTAGAACTTACTTCGCTGACTGTGATATCGTCTCTTGTGTAAATTGCAACTCCATCGCCCCTATTATCTCTGTCTTTGCGATGTGGTTGGAAGTCGGATACGGCAACGTCTGATAAATCTGTAAACCAAGTTTCCGCAAAAAAATTTTTTTTTTTTTTGGCCGGCTGAGTTTATGTAGAGCTGATAGTCTAGCAAAGAGCTCTTAACGTTTTTCATTGTTGAGTGAACATGGGTTGTTTGCCCAGTAACATAGATGGCTAGGTGAAACTGTAGAAGTGTCGGGTTGCATCGGTTTTATTTTTGCTTTAGTTTTTGGTCTAGGACGTCTAGTTGGCAGCGGGGGTTTCTGAGTAAGGAGCGGCTGTGCGGCTAGGGTAGTCTGACAGAGCTCTGGCTGGGGATGAAAATACGTAGCACTGATTGGACGTTGATTCGATGACATCGATGCAACAGATGCGACCTGTTCTTCGATGTATAACATTCCGAAACGGATTATTGAGAATGTTAGCAGCGGCAAGTTGGTCGTTAAGCTTTTTAAGTTGGGTGCGTGTGGTGTTAAACTCAGTTTGTTGCTCTGGCGTTCTGTCTTCGCGTACGTAGACACCCTTGTATATCTCTTGTTTGTGGTGTGCGCATTTTTTGAGTATTTCCGCTCGAGATAAAAGATTTGATAACGAAACCTGGAGAAACTATATAAACTATAACGATTAAAATTATTGTAATATTTTACAAGCTGATGAT